CAAAAAAAAAAAAAAAAAAAAAAAAAAAAAAAAAAAAAAAAGAGCCCCATCTCTGCTCTCCGCCCTCAAATAAATAAATAAATAAATAAGGAAAGAAAAGAGATGCTGTTTTTTTGTTTTTTCGAGACAGTGTCTTACTCTGTCACCCAGGCTGGAGTGCAATGGCACATCTTGGCTCACTGCAACCTCCGCCTCCCAGGTTCAAGAGATTCTCCTGTGTCAGCCTCCCAAGTAGCTGGAATTATAGGTGCTGACCACCATGCCCTGCTAATTTTTGTGTTCTTATAGAGATGGAGTTTCCCCATGTTGGCCAAGCTGGTCTCAAACTCCCGACCTCATGATCTGCCCACCTCAGCCTCCCAAAGTGCTGGGATTACAGGCATGAGCCACCGTGTCCGGCAGATGCTGTTGATTATTAAGCACAAAACAACTGTTCTCGGCAAACGCAAATGTAGAACCAGCCCACTCTTAGGGAGGTGGAGGCCCAGAAAAGCACTGGGGACTGAAAGAAAAGACTGCCACCAGCCAGAGCAAACACTTGTCAGGGGCTGAGTGCATGCAGCCACCGAACTGGGCCCTTACACACACTGCCCACATCCCCACAGCTGGGCTGGAAAGAAGATACCCTGAGAACTCCCAGTTCAGCGCTGAAAGAGCCTGCCACCAAGCAGCCGAGGCCTCCCAGGGCCTCCAGGGCCACAGCAGATGGGGCCTGGCCCGAAGCTGCAGTGCCTCCACTCCGCCCGTACCCCTGAAAGACCTACTCCCCACTGACATCCACATGGCTCTGCTCAGAGACTGGTTCTCCTTCCAGACGGGGAGGGGAGTCTTACTGGGTAGAACAACGTGCAACCTTTTCCTCCAGGGAACCCAAGGGCTTCAGAGACTTCCTGATGGGGAGAGGACAGAACCCCAGTCTCTGGCCTCCCGGTCCCAAATTCTTTTCCCTACACAGCCACATGCTTAAGAACATAATGGGAGGTGACACACCAGCAACGTGACAATATTGTGAGGTTCCAGAGTCAGAATCGGGGACGCTACTCTGTGCTCCTCTGGAGTTTCTGAGAGTCACACTCCACTTTCCTGTCTTTTTTCAGCCAATGAGGCTACAAGATAATCTACTACGCAGGCAGGCGCACGAGGACTCTGCTCTCACAGCTTTCACGCTGGCAACTCTCGGTCCCTTGAAGACCCCCAGAGAAAGCCTCTAAGCGCTGCCCCACCTCCGCACCCTCTCCCCTGGGTGGTGGCAGCAACAGACTGAGTGTGTGGCGCCCTCTTCCCATCCTGATCCCACTCAAACCACGACCTCCCCTGACTCACCCCAAATCCTTCCTTAAGGAACAGCTGGCCCCTACTTCCCTCACACCCTACTTCCCACCCTCTCTAAATGTTCTCCCCACATCCCACCCAAAAGTCCACTCCCTGGTCCCCACCTCAGGGCCTTTGCTCAACGTGTCTTCTCTGCCCAAAACTATCCCTCGTCCTTGGGGGTCTAGCTGAAAGACCATCTTCCCGCCCCGACTACCTGGGCAGGACGGAGAGCAGCACAGCCCATGCCCCGTGTGGCTGCCGCCCCCTCAGCCCTGTGCTCCTGCGGAGGCGCCCCTGCGGCCACAACCACCGCCCAGTGAGCGCCCCGAAGGCGGGCGGAGGCCCCGTCCCCCTCGTTAGGCCGTCCCGTTAGGCCCAGCACCACCGTCCGGGGAGACGGGAACCAGGGCAAGGCCGGAAGATGGACAGAAGAAAGCGGACGGCCGGGCCCGCGGCGCTCCGAGTCGGAGGCATCCTCAGGCACGTGCCCTCCGGAGACCGGGAAAGCGGAACTGTCAGCAGAAGGCGGGCAGAAGGCGGGCCCATCACGAGCGTCCGGCCGCGTTGGGTCCGCGGCCCCTGCCCTGCCCGGGTGGGAAAGGAGCTCCGCCTGAGCCGCGCCCTCCCCACGCGCGCTCCCGGGCGCCCCGCGGGCCGCGCCCTCCTGCAGGTGCCGGGAGGGGAACGCAGGCCCCTCCCTCGGACCCCGGCCGCCCGGCCACACCCCCGCGCCGCGGCCCCGCCCGGCCCGGCTGAGCACCTACGACCGCGCGGCGACACCAGGGCGGGGCCCAGCCGCGCCCGCCCCGCCCCGTCCCGTCCCGCCGCCCGGCGCCGCGCCCGCCTCACCTCACCCCGACCCGCCGCCGCCGCCGCCGCCGCCACCGCCTATTCCAGCTGGGAGGCCCCGCCGGAAGTGACGCCACCGTCGGCTGCGCAGGCGCAGACGCAGCGCGCTACCACGTGACGGCCCGGCGGGCGGGGGCGGCTGGGGTTCTCGTGCGGGGTCGCGGCGCGTGGCGGAGGCTCTGGGTCCGCCCGGCTTGGACGGTGAGTGCCGCCGGCCACAGGCAGCGGCCGGAGCCCAGTAATCAGGCCACCACCACTGGCTCGTGAGTCACGTTTATTGAAAAAGTAAAAAGTGTCACAGTAAAAAATTCACCTGGAGACAAAGCCAGGCCTGGGAGTGGTGGCGGGGTCGTGGAGGGACGGGTCCGGCCGCCCCTGGCCCATGGTTGGGACACTTGCTGGCCCCTGGGCGACACGCAGCTTCTCCAGGGCCCCGGGCGGGCAGGGCTGGCTCAGTCCATGGTGGTCCCTTTGAAGAGCTCCACTAGCTCCTTGAAGTCCGGGTCGATGAGGTCGGAGGGCAGGTCGCCATCGTCGTTGGCTGCGTCCCTGTCGGCTCCCAGGGAGATGAGGTACCTGGGGTGCAAAGGTCGCCCTGGCTGAAGCGGGGAGGAGCCTGTGGAGTGCTCACCCCCACCCGACACAAAGGGGCAGACTCCTGGGGTCACGTGTGTCCCCCACCTTGGGGTTCCCAGGCCCAGGTAGGGTAAGGAGGAAGAAACCTGGCCAGCTTTTCCAGTTGTCTCTATTGAGGACAAGGGCAGAAACAGAATTCCAGAAGCCTTTAGGTTTTTCGGGATACTTGCCTACACCACCAGGGCCGCCTTCTGGGGCCCACATCCTGGGGGCCCACTGAGGCCTGCAGAGGTCAGGTTCAAGCCTGAGTAGACCCAGGCTCCCTCACCTGGCTATGTCGGGGTATCCATCGCTGCAGGCAATGTGCAGGGGTGTCCAGCCTGCCTCATCTCGCTGGTGAATGTCAGCCCCGTATTTGACCAGCAGCTTCACACATTCTAGATTTCCAGAGAGCACGGCTTCATGCAAGGCGGCCAGGCCTGGACAGAGAGGACCGGAGGGGTCAAGACTGAACTCCAGGTCGGATCCTCCTTGCTGGCTACCCCCACCACCCCACAGCCCCTGGCCAGCTCCTCTAAGGCTTGCTCACCTGAGGGGTGGATGGTGGCCAGGGAGACTTTCCGAGCCCGGATGAAGCGCCCCACCTGCTCCAGGTCACCCTGACGGATGTGGTCCAAGAACAGGACATCATTAGGGAAACGCACGCTGCGATCAGGCAACATCCGCCGCCGCCGCTGCCGTGGGCTGTAGCGGGCATAGCGGGCAGCTCTGCTAGGCATCTTGGGTGCTGTGGGGCAGGCTGCCCCCGGGGACCCTGCTGCTCTGGGGTGAATAATGTTTCCGGTCCCAACCAGATCTGCTCGAGGTCTCCTGTTGCCTCTGACTTGCTTATATAGGGCTCAGGGGGCTATATAAAGCTGCACGGTCATCCTCCCCAGTGCAAGGGGCTGAAACTGAGCTGCACCCCCCCCCCGCGCCCCAGATCATGTTTAGTGACTCATCTTTCAGCCCACCTGTCACCGTGCCCGGCCAAAGGGTCAGACCATTCCTGCCTGTCGCTCCGTACCCCACAGCTGGACCAAGAAGGTGCCTTACCAAGGGCGGGAGGAGGCATCAGTCCAGAGCCCATGAGATGGCCAGGAACATGAGATCAAGGGCATAGCAGGTGCCAAGGTCAATGGAAGGGCCTGCTGTCTACGTCCTGGAAAGTGAGGGTGGCCACCCCTTCCACATCTGCAGAAGCACAGGTCCACTATGCCGTGGGGAAGCAGGCCTGTGCCCTGTCCATCTCCCTGTCTGTCGGTTTTCACCTTCCAGCCTGGCTTGCCTCACTCTCCATAGTTTTCCCAAAACTGCTCTGATGGCCCTGCCTCCCACTTAGAAACCGCCCCCAGGCTTCCTTGGCTGAGATCTCAATGCCTCAGGCTCCTGCTCAGTCAGTCCTGCAACCCTTCTGAGTGCCTGGCTCCCCTGCCCTGAAAGCCTGCAGGGGACACGGTGTCCCCCACACTCATGGGCTGGCCCTGCACAGTGTCTCTGGGTTCCAGGTTTGACGCATGTGCTCACACTTAAGATGGTGTCCAGTTTGCTCCCCACGTTCAGGGACCCTCACACCCCAGGTGATGTGCCATCTCTGCCCTGGCCCCTGTGAGCTTGCCCCAAGTCTTGCTCTGTCACCCAGGCTCAAGTGCAGTGGCACGATCTCGGCTCACTGAAACCTCCGCTTCATGGGTTCAAGTGATTATTCTGCCTCAGCCTCCTGAGTAGCTGGGACTACAAGTGCCAGCCACCACCACCCTAATTTTTGTATTTTCAGTAGAGACAGAATCTTACCATATCGGCCAGGCTAGACTCAAACGCCTGACCTTGTGATTCACGGGCCTTGGCCTCCCAAAGTGCTGGGATTACAGGCATGAGCCACCGTGCCTGTCCAGCCAAGGGAATTTTTAAGAATCATGTTCCAACAGGCTCTTCATTGCTGGCTGCCTTTACTTTTGCAACAGCCCCAGTGGAGGTCCGAGGTGGGGCTTGGACTGCAGGACATGGGAAGAGCCAGTGGATGGGACTGGACACAGACACAGAGTTGACCCCAAGGAGGTCTTTGGGGTCAGGGATGGCCATCAATTATGCTGGGAACACTGCAGCACTTGAAGTTGGCGGGATGAGTCTGCTGGGGCTGCCATGACAGACCATAGGCTGGCTTAAAAAACAGATTGGCTCAAGCCTGTAATCCCAGCACTTTGGGAGGCCGAGGCGGGTGGATCACGAGGTCAAGAGATCGAGACCATCCTGGTCAACACGGTGAGACCCCGTCTCTACTAAAACTACAAAAAATTAGCTGGGATTACAGGCACACGCCACCATGCCCAGCTAATTTTT